CAGCCCCATTACCTCCACCACTGAGTTGTTGTTGAGCTTCCACTTGTTGCCACCGAGCACGGGACGCCCATCGATGTAGATCGGGCGCCGGCCCTCGTTAGCGATAAAGAAATCGCCATTGTTCTTCAGCTTGATGACACCTGGAAGGAGGGAGAGAACAGGTCAGAAGAAGGGGGGAGCACAGCCCTCCGCTCCAGCACTTCTGGGCCCTGCCCTAGCCCCGATGCCGGCCCTTACCCTGTTTGCGGGAGATCTTCCAGGCTGGTCCCTCCAGTGCCAGATCCACGTCAATCTGGTTGTCCTTCGTGGCCCTGCCCAGCGTGATCTGGAGGGGGAGAAGCATCAGGAGGCTGCGGGGGGCTGGGGGGACCCCTAGGAGGGGGAATGCTGCCCACGCTCACCTCCCGGGAGCGCATGAGGTATCGCACCATGCGGCCCCGCAGCACAGCCAGCGTCTGGCTGTCAAAGTCCGGAGAGCTCATGCCTGTGGGAAGGAAGGGTGAGACGGACGGAGGGACGGACAGATATCCCCTGCCCCAGCTCCTGTTTCTCACCTGTGATGCTGTCGACCAGCACTTGCCACTTGTGCAGTTCCTGCTCTAGCTGCCGGATCTCCCGCTTCTGCCGCCGGTCAGCCACTGTCAGCTCTAGGGAGAGGGGGTGAGGGGGGCCAGGCAGGACGAGGGGCACCCACCCCCACACCCCCACCCAGGGCATCACCCAGAGCCCACTCCAGTGCAGCACAAGGCACAAGCTGGCTCGGGGACAAAAATCTTTTCCCTGGACCTCTCCCTGCAGGTTTGGGCCAGCCAGCCCTGGGCTGGGAGCGGCCTGGACTCACCGTGCTCCAGCACCTCGTCCCGCACGTCCCTGCAGAGAAGAGGGAGGTTCAGACGCTGCCACCTGCTCTGGCACCCATCCCACCACCCCAGCACCCGTGTGACCGCAAGGCAGGAAAAGGACGGTCAGATACTGGTGCAGAGAGACACTTAAGGCACGTGAGAGGTTAAACAAAGTGGATTTAATGAAGGACTCCAAGCTGCACGGGGAGCCCTGGGAACTGCACGGAGGCATTGCTGATGGGAGGTGGCTGGACACACAGGTCAGACGCCCAGGCGGGACTCGTTTTGTGTGTCCTAAGGACCCTTTTATCTACTAGAACTATTTCCTTATCTCGACTGCGCTAAGCTTGAGTAGCTCCTGGCTGCAAAGCAACTAGACGTTGTTGACAAAACAGAACATGGACGTCTGGCCCTGACGGCTTTCGGTCAGCGCGTAGAGAGCACGCGCTGGGGCTGCTATCTCTGCCAGTCCCTGACTCCTCACTGGCTCTCCTGCAGGTGTTCCCACTACAACCTGTCTCCATCTCCCAGGGTCCCCAATTCCACCACTCACTTCAGCTTGCTGTCGTCGAGCATGTCCTCAGCATCCGAGAAGTTCAGCACTTGGTCCCCCTTCGGCAGCGGCTGCACTGGAAGGTACAGAGAGAAGGAGTTACGGGGGACGGGCCCAGCCCAGGAGCACGCAGGGCTCAGGGCACCCTCCTGGGGCCTCACCAGTCTGGTCGTCCAGCAGGTAGTATTGCTTCATGAGCTGCCAGTGGAGCTGCAGGGCTTTGGCCGTTCGCGAGGGGTAGAAGACGTCAGGGTGCTTATGGAGAAGGTCCTGGAAGGTGTCGAGTGTGGGCTGGCTGGTCTGCAGAGAGGAGATGGGGACAGGTCACGCAGGGGGACAGTGGGGACACCCGAGATGCCCCAACAGCCCCTCTCCCCTCAGCAAGGCTCTGGTCCAGACTGGCACCCACACCTCACTGCAGACCAAGACCCCAGGTATCCCTGAGCCTTACCGATCCCACCTTGTTCAGCAGCTGCTCCTCGGCTTTGCTGAACAGCACCTTGCTCTGGATGGCAGCGATGGCCTCGGGGTGGAGCTGCCGCATGGCCTGGCAGGCCAGCCTGGGGAGGAGACGGTGTGAGAGCCCCCGCAGCGCCCGCCACCCCTCGCCCTGACCTGCCTCTGCCCCTCCCAGGAGCGGGGCAGGCCCCACACTCACTTGGAGATGATGGGGTCGTAGAGAAGTGCATACCACCTCTCCTGGATCTCCCGCAGGTTGAAGCGGCAGCTGAACTTCACACCCAAGTGCACGGAGGTCAGGTCGTTGGTCTAAAAACGGCCCCAGCATAAGGATGTCACCGGGCAGGGAGATGTCGCTACCCAAAGGCTCCAGTATGGCCAAACTAGCCCCTCCGACCTCAAACCCAACCCAGAAGGGGGACGCTCAGGGAATGAAAAGCAAATACACCTCCCTGCTAAGACCTCTGGGGCCAGGGACCTCAGTGGGGCAGCGTTACCTGCAGCACAGCATTGATGAGCAGAAGGTCATCAGCGGGTTTCCAGCGGCCCAAGTCTTTCGTCACCTGCAGGGGCTGTTTGCTCTTCTTCATCCGCTTGGCAAGGCCGGGGGTTGGGACCGGGCTGGGCGCAACAGGGGTGGACACGGACTTGGAGACCTGGGTGGGCAGAGGAGCGCGTTAGGGCTCCGCGTCCGCATGAGCGTCCCCCGCTGCACAGGGAGCTAGCAGCCCCGGGATGGCTCCTCACCTTCTTCTTCTCGCTGGAGGAGGGCTCGCTGCCCGAGCAGCGGCCGGGCTCAACCCCGCTAGCCCCCTTGGCCCGGCTGGACGACTTGGCAAGGCTGCTCTCTACCAGCTCATCGTCAAACTTCTTCCGCTTGATGAACCTGGGGGGAGCGAGGCAGCTCTGGGACCTGGCGCCTGCTCTGCTCCCCGTCCTCCCACGTCCAGACGGCAGGCAGGGAGCGCCTGCAGGGAGGGGGGCGGGGCTGGGG